CGCATGTTTTCATCATATATTCCCCATATAGAAGCACCGCCATCCAGCGGACATTCCAAGGACTGAACGAGAGGAGGCACACGCACACTTTCGTACGGCTTGCGCTTCGTGTCTACTTGCCACCTTTAGCCACCTCAAGTTCATGGTATATACTAGTTCACTGTATTCATGGCACTGCGGCGCAACGCTCGCTAAACCTTCCTAAAACCAAGGAGGTTACGCGCAGCGAGTATAACGTAGCAACCTTTTCTTGTTAGATAGTGCTCAATGTACATGCCAATGGCTGCTAAGGGGGGATGAGAGACAGGAGAATTCGGCTTTTAGTTAACACGCACGCTGTGAATTTTTTTTATTGTTCAACAACGCACAAAAGAAATCTCCTACCGGCACCACCTTGGAGGTCAAAACGTAAGACTGGTTACACACTGCGACTACGACTACGAGGGACGAACGGGTGCCGCTATAAAGAGCTTTGCCTTTAACAACCTTGACGCAAAAAGTTGAACCATGCTACCGGTTTCTGCATCGCCGTCAACTTTTGTTTCCTGTACCGTTAGCACGTCAATGTCGCGCTCCGCTAAGAGACTGTAAAGCTCGCTTTTTGATTTTACCTACGAGTTCCCAGCCCCTATATCTGCAGTAAATACCTACCAGATATAAGGCCAGAATGCCCCAAATGCCAAAATTCAAGGTGTGATTTAAGTCACATGCTGTGGCAGTGTCCCGTGCTAAACGCTAGCTTCGGGTCCCCTGCCACCGAGGACGACTGGATCAAGCACCTCAGGAGCCCCGACAGGGCACTTCAACACCAGGCCGTCCAGAAGGCCCAAAAGGTGGCTGGCGAGCTCCAACTCCCAGTCCCCACATGGGCGGAGCCACCGGACTGGCCCCCGTAAGGGGTGCCCAGTCCCCTTCAGGACCTTTATTGAAGTTAATTCTCTCTCTCTACCAGTTCGCTGGCGTTAAGAGTGGCGACATTCAACGGAAAGGCAGGCGCCATTTTGCCGATAAGAAAGGAGACTGGCAGCATTCAGAAATTAGGCGCCTTTTCCTCTTCCTTATAACCACTACCTACAATTCGCGTCTAGCCCATGCCTATAGTCCGTTTCATACATCATGTGCAACGCTGTGGAAGCTATGCAAGCAGTTCGGCCAGCAAAACGTATAACTCCGCGCGTTTCGTGGTAGTTCGCGTGACATCTGATTAGTGCCGATGCACCATCGCGTTTTTTTTTTGTTTTTGTTTTTTGTGCTCACCTTTGGCGCGACTGGCAAACAGAAAAAAGTGGCATGAGCACAAAAGAACGCGGGTAATGAACGACCCTGTGGTGTCCTAGCCTACACTTACCTGCAGCGACACAAAGTCTAGGTGGCCGCCATCGTCAGGTACCCAGAGTAGAGAGCCACATAATAACAGACGTTCAACGGCGTTTCTCTTTGTAAGGCACTCGGGGTAGTTCACTGTTTGAAGTCAGGACGGGAGAATTGCGAACCAAGACGTATCAGGCCAAATACGAAGGGGTAGACGCTATATGCAGTGCATGTGGAGAGGAGGAGGACACCGCCGAACACTTGATAATGTTCTGTAAAGGGCTTCACCCTGTAGTTCAGGATGATGGCGCAGAGTTTTTCAAGGCACTTGGGTTTAGGGACAGGGAGGGCAAAATAGACATTAAGCGGGTAGAATTAACTAGAAGGAGGTTATCCGATTGGTGGCTAAAGTCAAGGCACGAGGTAAAATAAACCCTTCACTGCAAAGTACCAGTCCTCAATTTCAATATTTGAAAAAATAAAGTTAAATCTAGTTCTTCGTTCACTAAGTATAACGGCTAGGTTGCGTCAGCCGCCGCCCGATCTGAAGGGTACAGCCACATCAATCCATCCAAATGATATATTCAATTACTTCTCATCGTAGCAACTAAAGAAAAATAAAATTATTGGTGGTAAGGACATCGAACTACTTTTTGTTGTGAACGCATCAACTGCAAGAAGTCACGCTAGCTTCCACAGCGATGCACATGATGTGTGAAACAGTATAGACCATACCATCGCCGGCGGTGCCGTCGACGACTGCCCGACTGGCTCGACGTTGCCGCCGCGCTTATCGGCTGGAAAGTTGGGACACGGTCGAATAGACGGCTGCCGTCCTTGCGGAGTTTTTGGTAGCGGTTCCTCGGGGCCAGGTGCAGTGTTTCAGCACTCTCTTTGCTGGCCGGGGGGTGGGAACGCTACTCTTCTCCAGCGGTGGTTCGTTCAAATCCATGCGCTCACCGACCTTGGGTGCCCTCGGTGGCTTTCACCGCCACCACGAGTGACACGGTTGAGTCGCCCACGGCTTTTCGGAAGGTTGCCGAGTTACCCTAGCCGGCGTCGCGTCCTAAAGCCACACACAGAACCTGCGCCGCCAGCTGGTTGACAGGACTAGCCGAGACACCTTGCGCTTATTGGTCCGCCTGGGCTTTATTTTTCGGGGCATCACCACCGGAAGGCACCAACGAGTCCAGGTCCGGCCTGTTTTGTAGCCTCGTCGGTGCCCCGCGCCGCCTCCTCTGCCTCGCCGACATCCATCATTTCCTTGCGATAGTCTACATTCGACTATCCTGTTGCCGACGCGTAGGTACGTACGCAGTCCGCATGCTCAAAACGACGGCACTTAGAGCAACGGGGCACCCTGCTGTCCCGGCGAAAGTGTCTCATGCCATGACATCGTAGGCACTACATGGCTCGCCCGGCCACCACAACGAGGGCCAACTCCCCTGCAACTCAGACCTTGTGGGGAAGGTCGCCCGCTTTGTATCCGGGCTTCAATTTCAGCAGGACGGTTCTCGTGGCTGAGCCCTTTTCCTTCATACCTCGGACCCGCCAACGCTCTCGAGTCCCATCGGTGACGTTGCCGACGGCGGCAAAGGGTGTCCGAATATCTTCATCTTGGACGCCGTGAAGCATCCAGTGTAGGCGAAGCTTAACCTGCTGGTCGTCCCGGTCGAAGATGATACACCGACGGCCTTTGACTAAAAGTTCCTTAGCCGCAGCCAGTTTTTTTGGCAGCTCCACCGATGTTCAAGGTCACTGCCCACATGTGGTTAATTTGGTATGCCCCTAACGCCATGATGTCAGGAGCACACCACCCAATGCGAGTGCGTCGAAATAAAATACTGCTGAACTACACGGAAGAAGCAATACCGTACAATTAAGAATACAACTTTATTGAGTACTGTACAGCTCTCGACAGCAGTGGGTGGCATAGAATAATGCCAGGTGAAACTCTCATGCTCAGTCGCCAAGCAAGCCTATTGAAAATTCCGAATATTGCAAGCACGCATCAGACAAGCGAAAACTGCTCGAGACTAATGTTAATACATCAGCACATTCCTACCATAAAGGAATACCTAGAAATGGTGTATATTACATGTGAAAATGAAAGCTGTCATAGGGCACAACTACGCCTAGCAAATAAACGCTGACATACACTAGTTTCAATAGTTTCATATTCTACAACACTGCCCAGCTTGCAAAACTGTTGCTAGTAGCAAAGATATTTAAAAATAAAGTATACATACAACAGTATATGGTATATACATATATAGTGTCAAACAGTCAAAAGCATAACAACACTGGTAGCAATACATACCATGCAGACAACAGAAAAAAGCTTAAAGGGACCGAGACAACTGTCTGTTTTCGACCCAGTTTTTTTTGGCGCGACAGGAAACTTACTCTTCGTAGTGTGTGTAGCTACCGTTGTTAATCCCAAAAGCACGTAGTCATTTTATAAGCAGTATATTTTTCGATCTGAAAGCCTCCGACATAGATGAGCCCTTTCCTCCAGAAACACCGAGAATCGGTAGCGATGCCGGTAGCCTTCCTGGAGACGCGCATGGTGTCGTTCTGCTTTCGCAGGAGTTGCTACGACTATGCTCAACCACAATTATTCTGAGCTTTAAAGCTATTTTTGAAAATAACAAGTTACTACAATGAGACGATGTGACTTTATACAGTTTCTCTGTATTTGTACCGCATTCCGCGCGCCTGCATGCAAGGTTGTTGCACCTGTGTGGTGGATGGCTTGTCCCGTCGTCGTTACTCTCTTGACGCACGAGCCAAGCGAAGTCACTGAAAGCGCTGTGCATATGCACGGCCGTGCCGACTGGCATGCAAGTCATTTCCGAGACAAATTGTAAATAGAAAAATCGCGGTGCTCCAAAATCTTGGCAACCTGGAAACTGCGTGCACGATTTCATGGGCAAGCAGAAAAGTTGCTCATGACGCGCTGGCGAGCATGGGACGATTACGTCGTACGAAGGCAGTGCCACTTTAATGCATGTACATTTTTACGGAGTAATATATTTTACTATAAAGAAGCAAACATTATTTCAATACCAACAGAAAAGTTGTTGACCGCATATACAAGTTTACAGTCTCATGACAGGGCACATACGATCATTGAATATTCACACACCAGGGGGTGCCACACTGTTTTTGAGATTTACAATGAATAAATAAAGAACTAACTCCACTTTTCACAAGAAAATCGGGGCTTGTTTGAGTCACTATGACGGACAATCTTCCCATCCATGCAGTCATTTCATGTTCTGGGCAGTTGTCAATCTCTTTAGATAGATATGTGGGGTTTAACATCCCAAAACCACCATACGATTATGAGAGAAGCCGTAGTGGAGGGCTCCGGAAAATTCGACCACTCGGGCCTCCAGCATTTTTTGCCTCCATCGAAAATGCAGCCGCTGCAGCCGGGATTCGGTACCCGGCTGTAGCCACTAGACCACCGCGACGGGGCGTATGTGTTCCTTCTAGTCCATGCGTTTTTTACCTTTCAATCCCCTTAACTTTGCATTGCGACACAGGGAGATGATTTAGACTACAACCAAAGGTTTTGAAGAAATCCGATAACTCGAAACCGACTTTATTCCTTCCTCAGGGTTGACTGCGGAGACTACGTAGCAGCGGCGTCTTCAAAGCACTCGCGGGGTGGACATAGTGGCACAGTGTGTAACATAAGCATTTAATATACAGCAGGAACATTAGTTTGCACTTCATACAGACATGGTAAAAACTACACATCTGGTTTCATTGACAAGGTTTTGAGGATTGCTTGGAACAACAGGCGTGGATAAAGACTGAATAGTGGCAGACCCTGCACATTCACAATTGCCAAGAAATATCTAAAGAAACCAGAGGCCACTATACGAAACATTAGCCTCTTTATTGGAAACATTTAGCATTGTACTTTAGCTAAAATCACATGATTAAAAAGAAAGCACAGACATACAAGATAAAACATGCCTGTGGAGTCTCATTAGAAATAAACAACACACATGGTTAAGGATAGAAGTACTCATATACAATCTTTCACTGTATAAGTCAAATGATTTCAAAAATTGAAGCAACTCCATTGGTTGATACTCCTGTGGTTGCTTCAAATAATAAATAGCTTAAGGAATAAGCACAAACAGACCTCCAGCTCTGGCTTGTTCACAATTCAACCAGAACTTGCAAGTCGCGCAGGCAAAGGAGAGTCAACAGACATACCATCAGGAGACTACTCTGATCTAGCTTGAAAGTCTGCGCAAGTCTGGTAGCTTTACTTTCCACTATCCAGCTACTTCTTGAGAAAGTCGTCAATCTCGTCAACCAATCGAACGATGTATTCGGGACCGGGCTGGACGCGAGCGGTGATCCGGCGTAGCTTCTCGGTTCTGCAAATTTTTCACAGGAAAGCCAACGCGATTATTAATAATCGGGATTTCAAACCACAGAAACAACTATTTGATTACTGAGGCACGCCATGATGAATGGCTTCGGATTATTATCAACCACCAGAGGTTCTTTAAGGTGCGCCTAAATCTCGGTACACAGGCCTCAAGCATTTTGGCCTCAATCGAAAATGCCGCCGTGGCATCCATAATTTGATCCCGCGACCATTGAGTCAGCAGTTCAGCACAAGCAATGTGATGAGTCAGGCACAGTCGAGCTTAAATATAAAAGACTGTTTTAAGGAATTTCCAAGTGCAACTAAATAAATATTAAGATATTTCTAACCAACATCAGCAATGACAAAATATTTCCTTAATGTTAGACGTTACCTAAACGTGCTTTCAAGCCTTATGCATCTGTAATAACGTACAGTAATCCCTCGTTAACTCGAAGCCATCAAATCCGGGGAAAATTTCGAGATAGGCGTTATTTCGAGTTAAGCAAAATGCCGAAAATGTTCGCCCAGGTCACTGTAAAAGAAAAGCCAGTGCTGCTAGGAAAAGCTCCACTGCACAAAACAGCTACCGTAGTAAAGGCACAAGAATTCGGAGGGGAAAAAAATTTATTACCGAGGACCAAAAAATTGCGTGATGCTCGCCTGTTTCGCTTTAGCGTTCGGTCCGAGAAAGGCGTTCTCCAGTTGCTCAACACATCACATGAGCCGTTGGTCGCCACCGCTGCATTCGACCTTGTTGCGGAGCAAGCACAGCATGTTATGTGTTTCTGTCGTAGGCACTTCTCGAGGCTCTTCCTCATCTGCATGGTCATCTGCGTCGTTCACGGCCATCTCAACGATATCGGCGTCCGGCAGCATTCCGGTAACGGGGAAAACGAAGCGAGGAAAACAAAGAATACCAGCTCGCACATGCAAGGGCTAGGTTGCGTACTGACGGGCGCATGCTGCACACGCCGCCCACCGCGCATAAGTCGCGTGCAGGTGCGCACACGTGATCACTCCCACAGTTGCCTGACAAGGCTGATAGGAAACGGCTGCGTCCGCGGGAATTTCAAATTCGCCCTTCACGACTGCGTTCGGCACGTATAGTAAGAGCTAAGCGTTCGCACGGAGCCGTCGTTGCCTGTTGGGAGTAGACTTTGCCTTCTGCGCTCCCTGTCAAGATTTCGAGATATCCACTGTTCCCTCCGGAAAACGTTTCGAGATAAGAGGGGGCAAATACATAGCACCTATGGGAGGTTAATGCACGGCGAAAAAAGACTTAACCGAGATTTCGAGATATGCTAGTTCGAGTTAACGAGGGTTTACTGTATCTAGTTTTTAACATGCGACATATTTCATAACCATGGTTAGAAGAAGTGCCGTATTTACTCGCGTAATGAACCCACCTTGTTTTGAGAAAAGTTGACGCCAATTTAGGGGGAGGGTTCATTACGCTGGAGAAAAAAGTCACGGGAGTTATAACAGCGAAAATTTCGGGTGACGACTTTGCTTGTTTTGACCAGTCAAATGCGCGACAAATCTTTTTTGTAGCCCGAAGCTCTTTTTGTTTCGTCCCGTAACCAAAGTGCATGGGTCGATGCCAAAGTGTCGTCCAGTCACTCGGTTCCAATGCCCCAGCGCATACTGTTAGTAACCAGCCGTGTAGCTAGTGTACCGGCCGATCTAAAGGGTACGTAGGTGGCGTTAGCTGCTGCCCGATCTAAAGGGTACAGCCACATCAATCGATCCATTCATTGTGACTTTCAAATTTCGATTTATGTCGTCCACACTCTCGTTGCTTTCATTCATCTTTGGCTTTCATTGCGTTGTTATTTTGTCATATAATGGCTTGATTTAACATTGTTTTGATTGCTAACGGCACTGGCTATCATACAGAAATAAAATAGATACATTTAAAAAATTTCTTTTTTCACGGGTCAATGATCAAGATGTAGGTTCATTATGCGAGTGGGTTCATTACGCAAGTAAATACGGCAATTCATTGTAAACTGCGAAAATCACAAAGCAAATAAACCAATCACAATAATCTCAAATGAGGAATATAATGCTACGACAGGGGAAATGATGTTGTAAATTCATAAAACTAAAGAGCAAAGTTATTTCTCTTGAATTAATTTAATTTTTCACTATACTTACATTACCATGCTTGCCGCCTTTAGCACAAAATGTAATGTCACATTTTTATAGAATCTAGTAGGGCCCTGTATTGTTCCCAACTAGTAGAAATTAAGTACAAGTTTCAAGAAATTTTACAGAGCCATTACAGTGGAACCCCTCATGGGGTATGGTAAGGCAAATGATATATGTCAGTTTTAGCGTAATATCTTAGAAGTGGCTGCAAGTATTCCCATGCAATTTTACGTGCTCACAAAAAATGCTACTGGGTATATCAAGTGACACCCTTTCTTTTTATGCCTAAGTTATCCTTCCTAAGGCCCACTCACAAATTTTAAAGGGCGTTTACCTATTCAATGTGCCTTTTCTCTGCAACTACTGAAAGGAATGTAACCATAATCAGATGTGTTGTTGTAGAGACTCAAAGGTTACATCTAAACTAAAAAAAATATTACATTTTTCATTATGTATTTTGTAAAAAAAAATTAAAATACTGCTTGCACAACGCCACGGAGACTGCGTGTTGTTACATAATTTTTTTACAGTTTTTATAAACTCAGCAATTTTTTAAGTTCAGATTGTTTCTAACTTGTGTAGCTCACGCATACAAAGTTTCATCCAAATCAATTCAATACTTTTTGAGAAAAGGTACATTGAAGTTGAAAAATTCACAGAAAATGCAATTTGAGAAAAACAAAGTTTTTACGTGCGCATGCGGCTTGCACCAGAGGGCTCACTTCTGGCATTTAAACAGCTTGGAGAGACCGCTCTGAACGATATGTGGGGTTTAACGTCCCAAAACCACCATATGATAATGAGAGACTTAGTTGGAGTGACCGCTTGACATCAGGTTTCCACAGATTTGTTCCTCAGGGTACAGTGGATTTTTCGGTGTCAATATTGCAAATTCGATTTTTTGGGGGTCTTCACCCTACCATACCCCCTTAAAGAAGGCATGCTTCGGGCAGCAATTTTTGTATCTTATACGAGGAGTTTCTCATAAGCAGGGTATCTCGTATGCATTTTTTTTATCGAGCCATATTTTACAGTAGGCACATTGCGTCTCATACCGATTCGCCTCTTATAAAAGGGTTCGACCGTATCACCAAATTATAACAAGAACACTGAAATGCATAACTTTCACGTGCAGGGTATCAAAGCAAAATTTAAAAATGAAGCAAATAGATGCTCTTCTGTTAACATACCTGTGGTGGTGAAATTAACGACAGAGCTCTCAGGGACGCACCTAATCCCCGTTTCACCTTGGTGCCCCTTTACACAATAATTATGGTGCATAAAGGTGCATGTGGTCGACTATACCAAGCAGAGATTTCACTCGACGGAGTCGAGCGTTTGAGATTGTGTGTCGATTTGCTTGGCAAGTGTTGCATTTTAGAAGCAGAATGCTGCTCCTAACAAGGCAGATCAACTGCGATATCGGGTGAATCGTATGTAACAAGAAAAAAATTATTTATTATTAGTAGGCTTGTGCGATAAGCGAATTTTGCGTTGCAAGCAAATAGCGATCTCGTTCGAATAACTTTGAATCGAATTCGAATGGTATGCATATCACATAAAAAAGGGGGCTTATTTTCCAGGACCCAACTACTTTTAAGAATTGAACCAAGCTTTGTGCGAATGCCATCCTTTTATGGTACGAAGGAAGAGGAAACAGCTTTGAACAGTAGCACGACTTTGCTTTCCAGAATGCAAGTGATAACCTGTACAATATACAGTGTTTTAAAATTTACTTATGACTCACATAACGTAGCGTAACAAGCTTTTAAACTTAAATAATGATGAATCGATGCGAAGGTAATATGTTCACGTAAGCTTGAAGTGGGGCTTTGCGGCAGTGCAGATTTCTCCTTTGTGGGTGCTTTCACGGCTCAGCGCGATTCCACTGTAGTGAAACCACCTTTGCAGGGGTTACATGCGGACTAATGTTTGTTCATTTCGGAAATTTCCAATAATTTATATCCGAGCCGAAAGAATTTGAATGTCGTAATGTTCATTCGAATATTTGAAGCATTCAAATATTCACACGAGCCTACATATCTTCAATTGAGACATCAAAATGCACAGCTGTGAAAGCTTTATAAGAAAACCCAACCAAAAAATAAAATGTGCGAGTAGGGTCTCCCCTTCAGTGTAAAATGAATTAAGATAGCATGCGTAACACACACATGCACACACTCGCATATGCACACTGCCAATAGCCATTATGGCGAGTGTCAGTCGACGTAATGGCCACAGGCGGCGCTGACCGACACTCCCATGCTTAATATATACCTTATAAAAGTGGACGGAGGAATCGCTGCCACCATATCTCAGTGGTAGAGCATCAGACGCGTTATTCGAAGGCAAGTTAGCTATTTGTCCACTTTTATATCTTGACACTCGCAATTTCTACTGATAACATCCCCTATACCATTCATATTGTGACTGCCTGTTAGTTCTCATTAAGATAGTGTCTTGCAAAGAAAACGAGCCCTTAAATTTACTTTTCTGGTATCTATTAAAGACATTCAGGATCATAGATCTGCAAAAGTTGTAGAGTTCACTCGGACTCGCTCGTGAAATATATATCGAGCTTAGGACTCACTCAAACACGCACTTGCCAAATTTTTCAACCAGACCCGCTTCAACTCAAGCTCGAATTATTAATTCACCCCGACTCACTTGCCGCTTGATCCGAAACTAATTCACACCTCCGATCAATAAATATTGGAACAGTGTATAATATATACTGCTCTGGAATACGTGCGAGTAGACGCGAGTGAAAAAAAGAACCCAGGTAAGGGCTTTAATAATTCTGAGTAGATAGGACTTCAGTTCAGCAAACAAAAAAGGAACTCGGACTCATTC